TCATGTCAAACTTGACGGGAGAGTCCATCATATATATCTCATTCTGGTTGCCTGATGATCATAGGAGAATGAAACTTACGTAGCAAACTGAATTTTGTTTCTTATGACATCTGACGTTGTGAAGCATTTTTGCTTTGTAGAACACTTGGTTAATGTTTAAGCAGGGGTCTGATTTTTGGTTGGTTTGTTTTTCATTTTTATTTAATTTATTTTCCAATTTTTTTTATAGGTTTTTGTTAGTAAATTTTATTTTTCTCTTTGAGTCACCTGGCAGGCTTTCTATTGGTTGAACTTGATTTTTGTGTGTTTATATAGTTCTTTGTCTATTTTTCTGTCTTTTTTTTTCCTATTCACAAGCTAAAGACACCTTATCTCCTATCCCTAAAAAGCAAAATACCTTATGACTAGTCAAAATTAATACCAACATATATCAGTTAAAAAAACATTCTACACAAAATGTTAAAAATATAAATTATAATGAAATCATTCACAGTTAATGTATAAATACTCATACAAAGATATTTGTACTTGTGTTCTCAACAAAATTTTTTTTTTTTTTATCTGATGATCACCTTGGAATAAGGTAACGTTTCACCAGTAACCTTGAATGCCTAGTATTATCTCAGAATCTTTTTAATGAAATTGCTTTGAATATAACTTTTTAATCAAATTAATATATTTTCCATTCATATTAGTTCCTTCAACTCAAGTAATTTTTATATAAGTCACTAAGTTCTTCAATTTTTTTAGGCATCTGTACCCTAGATAATAACCTTTTAAAATGAATGTCATAATCTCTTTTATTATGATGTTGATGCAATTCTTTTATAAAACATCTTTTTGAGAAGCACTTTTCACTTATGAAAATTGAAAAGGGAACATTTTTCTAGAGGACTGGCATGTGTTAGAAAAAATTAATAGAGGTAGAATTGATTTGTTACTAAAAATAAACAAAGAATAGTGTAGCATTTGATTTTTATGGATTTTAAAATACATAACCTGGAAATAATTAGTTTTGGCACAGTTGTACATCCATACTCATTAAAATTCTGAAATTGCTCAATAAATCACATGATTAAACTATGATGTTTTTCATTGTGTAAAAGACACTTAAAAAACAACTTAATCTAAATAAGCAGAAACCTAGTTTTTTTACTTATAGATGTTTGCTCAGTCTTGTCTGACTCAAGGCCAATTGGAAAAGAGAGAAAATTGATAAAAAAATTGTATTGTACTGATCTTTTGTATATCTACTTGATAAGTAAAATACCTAAGATCTTAATATATTTCATTTGCAATTGTTAATAATTTTTAGCTGTTATATATATATATATATATACACACTTTTCAGTGCACAGATTCTACACTCTAATCTTAGACAGAAAGGCAGATCCATATATAAATAAACCTATTTTTCATGGACATTATGTTTATATGATATTTATATAAATAAATAAATTTATATATGTATCTAATATATTTTATGCAAATAGGAGTAGATAGATTTGCCTGCCGCCCAGTTCACACTCTTCCCTCATCTTTTGAACAGGAGTAGAGGTTTATCCCTTGTTTCCCCATTTAGGATTAGGCTTCCAGTTCCTTCTAAAGTTTTCTCATTCTATTTGACTCCAAGTAGACCCCCTTGAGTCTTAGTTGTGAATTGCTTAAAATATACAGGAGGATTGAAAAGTAACTCCAAATTTTATGTATGATGGACTCTCATCATTTAAAATTATAGTTAGATGGGAGAGTCCATCATACATAAAATTTGGAGTTACTTTTCAATATATATATATATATATATATATATATATATATATATATATATATATATATATATATATATATGTGCACACACGCATATATCAGATATGGTATATGTAGCATGTCTGCAGGAACTAGTAACCAACATTTTACAGTCCTTGATACAGGTTTTTCCTGAATGATATTCTGGCATGATATGAAATAAAGGATAAAAAAATTGAGAGTTCACCGCAAGATGCAGACACCCTACATTAACATACATTTTGAAAAACTATCCAACAGATTTTCTTGTCTTTCATACCGAAACACCCCACTTAGAAATATTACCATATATAATTTGAAAATTTAATATAAGTATGGAAATACATTAGTGGAAAAACAAAAACATAAAATATTTGTTATAAAAACTCATTTTTCTCTTTCACTTTCTTTCTCTCTCTCTCTCTCTCTCTCTCTTTCTCTCTCTCTTCTTTTCTCTCTCTCTCTCTCTCTTTTCTCTCTCTCTCTCTCTCTTTTTCTCTCTCTCTCTCTCTCTTTTTCTCTCTCTCTCTCTCTCTCATATTTTGAATTTTTTAAATATTTTTTTTTCTTGAATCTCAAAGCTTGTTGCATAAAATCTGTTTGATGTTTCTCTTTTATCGGGTGTAAGTATCATAACTAAGTGTGTCAGGGTCTTGTTTGAAAAGGTTTCTTGCAGCCAATTTTTTTTTTTTTTTTTTTTTTCAATTGGTCAAAGCTTAAAAGAGAAAAGGTTTAATGATGATTTATTCTTTCCTTATCAGATCCACACCCCCCACCCTTACAGCAAACTGGGATCTCCAGCTTTTTTTTTTTTTTTGTTACTTTTTGAGTTGCACAATTCTATTATTATTATTATTATTTTAAAAAAGTTTTGTTAAACCGACTATTGTTTAAATTTCATAAAATTATTATTTTTTAAGGCATTTAGTTTACATTTGATTACAAAATTTTTATCAAAAATTGTTTCCATCCCTGAATGAAAAGTCTTTTTTGTAAGCAAGTTTGAGCAGGGCTGTGATGTTTGTAGTCCGACTCGACCTTTTTGTATTGGAAGAAAGTAGAACAAATGTTGGAAACCCCAAATTGGACAAATAAAGTGGTCATTAGGTTATTGTAAACATTCCACATAAAATAGCCAAAAAAAGGGGTTTTCTCTAAATTAGAGACTGATGATAACCTTGCTATATACTGTATATACTTGTGTATCCTGCAACTTTTGAAGACCTAATTTTGAAGTTAATTTTAAGGGGGTTGCATCATACATGAAATATAAAATTAATGTATATACTGCTGGCCCTGGCTATGTCATTGACCAAACTATATATCCATTTACTGTAGTCAAATTAGCTTCAAAATTAGGTCTTCAAAGGTCACATGATGCGTGAATATATATATACAGTATAACCTGTTTTGAAACAGACAAAATCTTATTACTGGAATAGGGATTGGAAGTTCGAAAAGGTTGCTAAATTGAAAAAGAAAAAGGCCTAATCTAGTGGAACAATTTGGAATTAAATTGAAAATGTTGAAACTATGGTAGTCCATAAATACCATCATTATTTCTTTTGGGTTTCCTCTTGATTCTTCTTTCAATCCAGCTAAGGATGCCTATGGTAGGCTAAAAGCACAAAGACCTTTTATATTTGTTTATCTTCTTATAAAATAAAACAAAAAGAAAAACATTAAAATCTATTCATAGCAAAAGTATGTATAATAATTTAGCATTTTCCACATCATCTGTGGTAGATTTTACTAGAACACAATTGGACTGACCATTGTTACACATGAAAAAATGAAAAAGACAGGATTATTTTATTCGGCCAGTTTTGGCCTATGAAACTGAGAGTGATTAATCTTTCCAATTGTATTTCTCAATCAGGTTTAATGTCAGCAGTTTTGTTTCAAGGGATAATTAAAAAGAATTATTAGATTAATAAAATCTGCCAATTGGTAAAGACAAAAAATATGACTTTGCCTGGTGAGGAATTTGAGAGAGATTAGGATAAAAAGAATTAAACAAGAGAGGAAGAAAATAGCCGAATTGGTTAAGAAATCTGATGAAGAAGCAAGGTGGTGTGAGGAATTTTTCATTATTGAAAAATAAAGTGAAAGAAAAAAAAAGACAAAGGAGAAGAGAAACAGTGAAGATAGAGTAGAGAGAATGGAGAAAAAGAGAGAATAAATTTTAGGAGGAAGGAAGAGGACAAAAAGAGAAGGAGTCTGTATAAAAACAAAGGAAATGAAAGACAAAAAAGATGCAAGGGGGGGGGAAGAGTAAATGTAAAAATTCAACAAGGAAGGGAAAGAACAAAATAAAATTAGGGTTGGAGGGGAAAAAAGGTGGTGGTAAGAGTAAGGGGAAGAAAACATGGGGTAAAGAGATAAAAATATCAAGATGGCTGGTCCCTTTATTTTTATTGTCTGATTAAAAAAAATAGATACAAAAATTGAAAGAAATTCCATGAGGCTGACAAAATTTTTTACGAAGAAAATCTTAGAATAAATTTGAAAAAAATAGTCAAAAATTTATTTGAGCTTTTTAAATTTTCTTTTAAATTTATTTCTTACTTTTTGCTTTTGTTGAGTTTTATGCTAATCAGAGAAATATAAAGAATAATTAAGGTTGTCATGGCAACAAATTCTTTGATTCTCAACAAGAAATCCACACTGGTCCAAAAATCACAGACTCATTCCCACTTTGGGAGATTCGCTCTAATATTTGGAAGCTGTCTCTTTTACCTCCGAAACTTTTGTAGATATTTTTTTTTTAAAAAAAAAAAAAAAGAAAAAGTAAAGAAAAATGGGTCAAAAAGTTATGAACAAAGGTCATGATTGACAGTCATCCAGAGTGACCTTTTTCTTGTTCTTCCTGAATTCTGACCCAACCTGCCTTTTTAAAGGATCTGACTCGACCCCTATATGACCCCAGGTTGACTGAAACTCCTTTTGAATCTGGAGATCCAAAAAGAATGGCCTAACACCTGAATATTTGAAATAACATAAATGGAAGAAAAAAAAATTCAGATGGGCCTTATTGATTATCACGTTTTTTTTTTTTTTTTTTTTTTTTTTTTTGTTTTGTTTTCTGGGCAGGCAAATTCTCCATCAGAAGAAGCAAAGATGGGTCAAATAGATCTTGGACCCCTGAAGCAGTTTTTAGGAACAGCCTCACCCACAGCTGAATGCAATCAGGTCAGTTCAGGTGGATATAGATGTCACGTGCTTTGGCAACTTTCTGTGTCAGAGGATTCCATCATTGAGACAAAATTATCGAGGAGTTCTGGACATGAAGCACCGACCCTCTGTAAAAGGATATTGGCATAATCCTGCAATTTCTGGCAATCACGGTCACTCTTGTGCAGCTCGAGGCGGATCTGAAATGATACAATTATATCCAAATCCATGAAATTTAAATCTGATCAATTATCTGCCCGGCCTTAATACTGACCTGATCCAAGGATAGCAAATTAAAAAATGAAAATTGTTGAATATACATGAATTTGATGGCAGATAAGACCACATATTTTTTTTTTGTTTTGTTCCAAAAATATCTTCCAGGTCAAAGTTGATTTATCTGGGAGGTTAAGTGTCAACTTCCAGTATTTGTATTTAGGCTCACTTCGTAATGCCATAATATGAAATTGTTGTCACGACAGCAACATAATCTATCAGTATCATTGATTGATTTGTTTTTTTTTTTTTTGTGGCTTATCAACCCTTTGCAGGTTATTTTTAAAGCCAGGAAATATTTTTAAATTGTGAGAATATTTATTTATTTATTTATTTTTTTTTTTTTTTTACATAATAATGGTTTTTTAGTGATACAAATTTTACCAATTAACCCATAGCTGGGGGAGAAGAGCTTTTCCAAGGATATTTGTGCATGGGAATTGGAACTCTGCTCTCCAATTAACAATTCTGATCTTTTACACCACCCACACATCCATGTAGGTACTTATCAGACTCAACATTACTTAACTTTGGCAATCATACAGGAACCAGAGTTTCAATATTATGTGGCTGTAAGCCGATGTACAGTCTGATTTCACTTGCAATCTATGCAACAAAATGTGCAGGTCAGTGAATGAACTTACTCTGCATTATTGCAAATGACACCACCGTGATACCCAATGCACCAAGGAATAAAACTTTTCTTGCAAAATCTCTGGCTCAAAATGTACATCACTCACTGGATTAATGAGTCAACAGAGATGTCATCAGAAACAAGGAAATCAACAATAAAGTCCTGGAAATGTTTGTAATTGGACATGATTTAATGTTCTGCTAAATGGTTATAGTGGTGCTTATATACCGGCAAATTCAGTAAAGATTTTTATTTATTACAGTGTCTTCATTCTTTGGTAATCAAACAAAGAGATGTTTACTTAAACATGTATACTCACTAAATATAATATTTAAAATAATAATATCTATGTGTGACAATTTTGCAAACTTATATTTTGACATGTTTCAAAGATCAAAACACATCATCAGAAAAAATGGATTTTATTTCAAATATTTACTGTTTGGAGAAATATTTCAAAATATAAGTTTTTTTTTTTTTTTCAAACTTGTTATACATTTACCATTCTGTCAGATTCTCATCCAAATTTGAATCATATCTATATATAACATTTAACTTGATGCCAATAAACATTAAATGAAAATTTAAAAATGATAGATAATTTAATCAGTACATTTGTGATGAATTTTCTTTTTAGAATTTAGCACTTAATCAGTGTCTTGCAAATAAATTCTGATGATAGTGGAATTAAATATTGAAACATGAACAAAATTTTCCTTTTTATTGATCAAATATTCATAATTTGAAAATAGTTTTTATTTGAAGTTTATTATCATTGCATTTAAAATTATTAAGTATTTTTTAACAAAATGCTGGCAAAATATTCCGAAGTTGTCAATGCCATTTCAGAATGTTCTGCTTTAACATGATAGACTATGAATTCTGTGACAAAAACAATTCACTGACTTTCATAAATTGATCATTTGGTTGGTTTTAACAAAATAATGTTGTGCTTTTGATAATCATTTTTTCAAAATTTATGAAGCTTAACTTGCTTTGATGCAAAACAAATGACGTAAATACTGTTTGCTTCCAGTGTATTGTCTGCATTATTTCATATACTTTAAAATGTTCAATTTTTTATCTTTGGTCACTGTACCTCTCTTAAAGTGGTAAAATGCTTTCATGAGAGCTTTTGCCACCAAATCATGGAACCCATTTTTCAAGTTAAGGCAGCTTTACATATTGTTGCAAATGAATGAACCATTGAATAGCTTCAATTTATTTTTTCAGTGGGCTCTTCAATTGTAACAGCCCTATTTCTGTTGAAGTCACTTTTCCTAAACCATCCATAGCATTTTCAACAATTTCTTTTGTTTAAAGAATTTGTCTTTTACCATAAATAATTGATGCTGCTTCTTGGGCATTATTACCGTTTCTAGAATAATAAAGTATTATATCTTTATGTGATGTATAATCAGTCACTAGGTTGAATTGTGACAACATAAATTCTTCATTAAAAATCTGTATGGAGACATACAAGCATGTATTGTTATCATTTAGACCAGTGGTGGGTAAACAATAGACCATGGTCTGGATACAGCTCATGGCCCATGTCAATTTTGAGCACAACTCACAAATGCATTTCAAGCAAAAGTTTTTTGTGCATTATTCAATTTTTGTCTAATCGTTTTTTCCTTTTCTTCAACTTTAGTTAATGTCCAGTGGAAATAAATAACAATTTATTCACTTCATTGAATTTTCATGAAAAATGACCAAATTTGTAATGACAACTAGGTTACTAGGTCAGTTTGTACCAATCCTGACACACAGTGACAGCCCTAGGGTTGCTGGCACCCTGGGTAAGCTGAACTTTGGAGCCTTTACAAGTAAAATTTTTTTATATATTTTCACAAAGAGAAAAACTGAAAATGTAGAATAACGATTTATTACAATATACAACATAATACAAGTAAACATTCATTATCCTCCCTAAAACATTTATTTTCTCACCTTTACATCTGCAAATCTTTTCATGGCACTTTCTACACTTATCTTCTTTACGAGATCATTTTCTATTAACAAAATAGCCAAAGAATGTAATCTGTCATAGATGACCGAAAGTATTTTTTTATTAACTTTAGTTTTGGAAGATCCCAAACACATCTGGTACCCTCAGCTTTGCTGGCACCCTAGGCACAAATTTGGTCAGTGTATTTAGTTTACCATTGGCCATATAAAAGTTATGGTTTTTGTCATTTGCAACATACCAGTTTTATTGGTTACTATTAGTATTAATTGTCAATACTAATAAAAAGAATGTTTCTTGTGGGTTCATTAGTCAATACACCATGAACCCCAATGACTAACACATGGGGGCCTTCAAAAAAATGTTTGAGCACCCCTGATTCAGAGATTCTGCAAAAATTGATCATAATCCATTTCAGACATTTACTTATATGCTGGATGCAAAAAGTCCAACAAAATAGCAATAAAACTTAAAACATTGTCCAAAGACTTTTGCTGAAAAATAATTTTTAGCTACAAAATCATCAAAAAACAAAATCATCAAAAAACTAATGAATAAATCATCAATAAACTATAAAATCATCAATAAACTAATGAAAGCAAAAAATCAAATTTCCTGAAATATAAAGCAATAAAAATAAGTGACAGATTTCTTTGCTAATCACAGTAAATGAAATCAATTTTTTAAAAAAATAAACTCATTTTTGTTTTATCATTTTAAATTATTAATATTCAATGATTTTATTTTCTCCATGTTATAAAGATATTTACTCAATTTACGTTAATTTCAGCAAATGATTCAAATGGATGTGAAAATGAAGGCTTGGGAGATTGTGTGCCGGTACAATCTTCCAAATGGGGAGGGTAAGCTTGCCTTGAAAACCAGCATTCAAAAACCTAGCTTTACTTGAATGTAAACAATGTTCTTTAGACATTTCAGTTGGTTCATTCTCAGACCATCTTTAGGTGAATGTATCCTTTACAAAGTTTTAATACTCACATTTTTCTGATGACATGAAGTTGCGACATGGCAGGTGCCTTAAGAGAATCATGTGAAGAGAAAGAAAAAAAAAATATGCACTCAGTTGCTGAGCCAACAAGGAAGAAAACAGATTTTACAGCTGGGAAAATGGAAACACTAAGTCTGTCATGATGACAATGGATACTAATGAAATTTCCTCAAACATTTTCTCTTGTCTTGTAATGGCATTCACCCGGGGTGGGTTGAGCCGGCTCCAATATTGGAGTTTCATGGGAATTTGGAATTCACAAGCGGTCCCCAAACCCACATGTATAGCACATGAGATTTGATTATTATAGTGGTGAAAGTTTCATGCAGGACCATCCACACTTTTTGAAGGGCCGAATACAGAGACCTGGTGCCACAAGGTCCCCAAACACCCTCCACAGGTTTTGAATTCAGAGTTGTTCTTCTCTTAGACCTGTTGCCACCCAAGGCTTTCCTTCTATTTACCCATAGCTGGAGGGAGAAGAAGAGGATTCACACTTTTCCCAAGGGTATTAGCACGAAAGTGAATGTAATGGATTCGACTGGAATTTGAACTCGGCTCTCCGATTCCTCAATCCAAACCACTATCCATTACTCCACCGTGCCTCAAACATTTTGACTAAAATTTAACCAGTACTAGGCTTAAGGGCCACTCAAGGTAGTGTTATAGTTAAAATGCTAATGATGAACAAGATGTAAGATATGCACAATAATAAGAATGAGAGTTTATGTGAATAAGGAGGATAGATAACTATTGACTCCTGAATTGAAGAACTTCTATTCCACAAAGTAGCAGTTCTTAGGAAAAAGCTGTCGGCGTGAAACTTCCTCGTTACAAATGGAATACGGAGGGAATGAGGGTGATTCAGCTTTATGGAAGTGACAAGATGTGTCCTAGCAGTAATGGTTTGAACTTGTGGAAACAAAGAATAGAGCTTATATGGCAATTTGCCATGGAAATAGCAATAGAGTAGCTTGGATCTTAATTGAACTCTTCGTAACAAACACCATAGAATCCCAGTTCAACCTGATTTCCGTAACATACTCTGGTGACAAATTTTTTTTTTTTTATTGAATGTGTGAATTTGAATAAAAGTGATTAATAATTGTTAAAGCTTCTGTGACAAATTACCACAAGCCAAATGAGCACAATGCTTTTCTTGTGCATTGCATGTAAATGGCCATTTGTAATGTGGGAAATGTGCAAGTTTATTATACCATTGACTGATGAATTTTCACAAGTTCAACATGTATTTAACAACTGGTGTGAAGAGGCAGACCTTTTTTTTACAGTGAACAGCCATTGAGTGAAG